CTAGAGCAGGGAATTATTTAAAATATTTTTTATTTATTTTTTATTGTAACTTTTTTAATTGTATTTTAAAAATAAAAAAAATGTCCCATTTATTTTAAGTGGTATTTGAGTATTTAGATTTTTACATACGAAGTTAATTTTACTTACCTTAATGGCAATGAAGTAATTAAGATTTTAGCAGTTCTAAGTATTTGCACTTAAATTTATTTTTTCCTCAAGAGTGTTAAGCGTGGTAAAGATGCCTCACGTATTGAATTCCTCATTGCCTACATGAAAAGAGGGGAACGAAAAATTCCATACAAATCGAGGTTTGCTTACCAGGTCCGACAAAATTTTAATGGCATTCGTATCACTGTGTACAGATTTGTAAATTTTGGCAGTCATAGAGTGGTGTTATCTATCTATCTATATTCGTTTTTCGAAAAAAAAACTAAAATATTGCCTAATTTGAAATAAAATTTGTTTTAAATCTGTTAAAAGAATTAAATTAGAGTGCCTCACCAAAAAAACAGATTTTCACCGGAATTAAAAAAAAAAAATATTATCAGCCCAATTCTGAAAACTCCAGCGAGTTGGTTCTCCGGGAAGTTGTTTTTCCCGAGAAAGAAAACTTCCAATAATTAATTTCCAGGGAGTAGCATTTTCCCCAAAAATTTGGGAGGTGGAAAGTCGAACTTCAAAAGAGCTGTTTGACACATTTTTGACAGCTCAACTCCGCCGAAAGGGAAAACAGAAAAAATTCTCAGAGAGTTTCTGTTCAGAATCTGCCTGTATATGTATTTGAAAACTTTCGCAAAATATTTCGAAAAAATATTCAGATTTACGTAAGTTTGCCAGTTTTGAAAGAAAAACTCCAGAAATCTAAATTTTGAGACATTTTTATGCAGACCTTTAAGCTTAAAATTTTCTTTTATCTAAAGTGACTTTTTTGAATTAAATATTTCAAATATAAAAAAGTTGTATTCATAAAAACTTGGTTTTGGAGATATGCAGTCTTAAAATTTTTTCGAAATATTTTGGCTAAAGTTTTATGGTCTTATTCATAAAAACTAAAGTAGCTTTATAAAAGAATTATAAATTGGAAAATCTATGAAAACGTCGATTTATGAAGCTCTTTAAACCTACTTTATTTTTTATGAATAAGGCCATTAAAATATAATAAATTTTGAAATTCCAATAAAAAGCAGCACCAATTTTTTTCATATGAAGAATTATGCACCTTAATGTACATACATTTAAAGCGCTATATGTAAATAAATTATATTTGATTGCTGAGTGACTCATTTACTCATCAAATGTTAAGTACATACATATGTATTTACGTTTAAAAATATCTCATATCAGCTGAATTTTTTTTTTTTAAATATTTTTTCATTGTCGCATTTATTTAACCTTCACGCCCCCAGTAACTCATTGGATGATAAACACATAAGCATAAACAATTTTTTTTAATAACAAATTATTTTTTATTCCCATATTTAATACTTTAATTATTCATTTTGAACAGTATCACTGCTGCGGCAAGCTCAGTCCTGATGATTACTTCTCCATTGGACGCCTCACCTACCCGAATAGCTGTTACCCCTCAATGATTGTGAATCAAACTGCCCTCTGGCATACTGGCTGCATCAAAGCTGCTGAAGATGAATTCACCAGCATTTTCAATTACTCATCCGGCGGTGAATGGGGAAATCTTGTTTTCACGGTAATTACTACCTTACAGAAAGTACTAATTTGCATAAGTAACTCACATGTTCTTATTCATATTGAGCTGCATCAATCCCACGTGGATTATGTCGGTTATTTTTGCTATAATCTTTTTTACAACGATTACCTTTTAATCTTGTTCTTGTGTACATACATACATGCTCGTAAGACTCGTTTAATTGTTTAAATTTCATTTTTTTTTATTTTCAGGGTGTGATGTTATTGTTCGCTATTTATCTGGTCATACGTTTCCGTAGCAAACAACGTCGCTACGATTATTAAGTCGTATTTCACAAGTGTAACATATAAATTGTATGTTTACTAAAATGAATCTCAATTCGAGAGAGCAAAACAACAAATACAAGCATATTTTCACAGTCAAAATTTAATATGTCATTAAACACTTGCTTAAGGCAGCTTTAAATTTTGTACAACTTTTATATAAAATAAATAGTTATGTATTTGTCTTTTTGGAGTATCTACAAACATATGTATGTATTTCTCATAAGCATTTAACCGTTTTTCACTTGCTAAAGTGTATTTATTTTCATGCGTAAATTTTTTAATAAAATAATAAATTAAATTTGTTACCACTTACTTAGCCGATAAGGCCGTTTTTAATTTGAAATAACCAGCTGAGAGTCAAAGGATCAAAAATTGGTTTGTGGTCGGTTAAACAATTTTTTTTATGTTAAAATTTATGTCTCGTCAAGCGATGTACAGTTGTTTACTTGGATGTAGAAAGATGATTGCTACTAACCTTTTAAATCTTAACCTTAATCTTTATCTTTATTTTAATTTTAATATAAGCCTTAATCCGAATCTTAATGTTAATGTTAATGTTAATCTTAATCTTTTTCTTATTCCTAATCTTAATCTTTATCAATTTTAATCCTCATCCTCGTATTTATTTTCTTCTTCATTATCGTCTTCCTCTACATCGTCATCTTCTCCTTAATCAAAATCTTAATCCTTGTCTGCATTTGCATATTTGTTTTTGTCGTTGCCTATGTCCTTGCCTTTGCCTTTGTCTCTCCGCACCCTCAGTGGCGTTCATACAGCCGCTCATTTTCTGTCCACGCACTCACCTTCACTGTGATACTAAATAGTCAGTTCAGGTTACTGTCGAAATTCGACAGTCGTTCTAGTTTGTTAATACCCTTGGAGAGGTTTTCCAACTTAGCACGTCGTTTTACTTAGAACGTATAGAATTATTTGACGGAAAATATCTTGCTTTGGAACTAAAACGTGACTACAATTTTTTATACCTTTGAAAGTCTTTGGATGACTTTCGCCGGACTTGGATAATTCGATACATATCGATAACTCAATGAATTTTAAGACCACTTAAGTCCGATAACTCAACTTATTTCGATTATTTTCGATAAATTTCGATAGCTTTGGTTTCGGCAGTGACTCAAAAATTTACATATTCCGATATAAATCGATAACTCGATAAACCTTGATCACCTCTATAAATTACGAGACTTGGTTTTGATAGCAACATATTTTTCGAAGGCTATTGACAAATTTCTATATCTCGTTACACTCTGGTAACAGGACGAAATTCGAAGTGGTAACATTTGTCTGAACAGTATTGTATATATGACAAAATACGATAATAATTGCATCACTTTTTGCAATTTAAACAATCTTTCAAATGATTTCTAAAATTTTAAAAGTAATTAAGTAAGCATTTTTGTTGTCAAAAATTGCGTCTGAATTGGCGTCTGATTCAAGGTAGTCATCTCTTTTCAAGCGAACTACGTAAGCTATAAGCAAATATGTATAAACAAAGAATTTCCTATAATCTTCTACTAAAATCCAATTCGATACGTCATCGTTCATAATAGATTGTGCAATAAGCATCAATAGTGTGTCGCAAGTTATTTTTAAAATCTGGCCGTCACTGATTCGTCATTGTTTGTGAACTACAAATCACAGCTATAAATGTGTATTTCACGTATTCGTGGTTCATACTTACATACATTCAGTTGCATTAAGAAGTGCTAATACACTTTATTTGCATGTTTTTGTTGCAAAGTAAATACAATTGCCTTTTTTAAACTTATTGATAATTTCACTTCACAGGTCTTTTATATGTA